GGTTTAAATTTTCCCTCCTTAATTTTTCAATAATAAAAACTTTTATGCAAAAAACCTGTAAAAATAGCTAACAATTATGCCAATTATGCCTTTCAATTATAAGTTATATTAAACAAATTGTAATTACATTTCAATTATAAGTTAGAATATAAGTTAATTTACTTACTTTATATAAATTACTTTTAATTTACTTTGCAAATTATAAAAAATGTAATTTTTATGTAACTTAAATTTTATTTTATATAATTTATTTTTAATAAAGATTTGTTATTACTTTTGAAATAAAAAAATTCCTTCTTATAAAATATTATTTTAATTTGTAAATTTAATTTACATTAGCATGTAGCATATTGCTTTTATATAATTTATTTTTATTTGCAAGTTTTTTTAAAATTTAATTTTGTTTTAATTTGTTACTTTAATAGGTAAATGTAAATAACAGTTTGAGGAACTTTTATATTATGTAATTTAATTTTCAAATGTAATTAACTTTTAAATGTAAAAGTAAAGAGCTTTTTTCATGTGACTTACTTTTACATGTAAAAGTAAATTACTTTTTGATGATTTTGATTCTTTTATATAACTTACTTTTGAAAGTAAAAAAGCTTACATTATAAAGTAAAAGTCGTTTGAAAAAAATTAATTACTTAGACGAAAATGTAAATTTACATTAAACGTTTAAAATTACTTATGTAATTTACTTTTTGATAAAAATTAACTTAATCTATGCCAGTGCCACCAGCACCACTAGCTGCACCATTTCAGCATCTGCTTTCTAAATCTACACCAATAACATCTAGCATCAATCCATGTCGTATAACACCAGCTCCGAATTCAACTCCACAGTCAACTCTATTGAGAAGGAAAGTCAAAAAGAAATTGAAAAACAACTGCGGTTGGTCCGATTGCTTGCTGTAGCTTTGCAGCAAATGTTTTGCATCTAACACGTTGACACGAAAAAGAAAAAAAAATTGTAGACGTACCAAGATGCGACGGAGTGTGTCTCCATAAATATGAAATATTCGAAATATGCTGAGAGCAAAAAAATAGCAAATTAAGCTAGGAAACAACATAATCTTGATTTTGATGATAAGCAGCAGATTAATCAATCAACAACATCAACTTCAACTACAAAAATTATTGATTGTTTTTTGAATTATCATTCGTTGCATTTTTAAATTAAATTGGGTCATGCTAAAAATGGATTAGCCACATTGAAAATGAGTTATTAATGGTTTTAATGTTTCATGAATTGGTTTCAACTATTTATTATAAAATTAGACATGTCAGACGCTTGGTTACGTCAGTAACTGCAATCGATTGTAGAGCTGTTTATGAAAGAAGCTTATGAATAAAAGGAGTTGAATCACTGACTTATCCCTTTTAGCATAAAAATTCCTCTTACAACGTCTGCAGACGCAGCTACACAACTGACTGCAACAGATAATATGAGGCAGTTATTGTTTTTATTTATTGTACTGTAAAGCTTAACTTAAATAGAAATTAACTTTATGTTTGCCTTTATGTATTGTGTTCTTAGTCTTATATTAATGTACTGTATTGAGTAGCTTAACCTAAATAGGAATTAACTTTATGACAAAATTTATTTCTTGTGTTCTTAATCTTATGTTGTTGTACTGTACTGTAAAGGTTTACCTAAATAGGAATTACCTTTATAAATTAACTTTATGTTTTGCGTTCTTAGTCTTATGCTATATAATAAATAAGTGTAAAACATGGAAATAAAATCAGATAAAAGTGATGAGTTTCTTGAAATACTGTACCTTAAAAGTACACTGCTAACCCTGCAGTTAAGTTATTTTGTATTCGATGTCACTAATAGTTTTACAATTTCATTTTCACCGGTAAAACTTTTATTAATGCACAGTGTAAAAGTTTTTTTTGTTTTTTTTTAGCTGCAAGAGGAACATCTGTCCTGAGACTATTAACAAAGACAATCAAATGGATATATATCCATTGAAAATGGTTTCCCTATGGAAACGGTTTACTATACAGTAAACCATTTTACTGTATAGTAAATAAAAACACATACCTTCAACACTAAAAATAAGCAGGATTTGTTTCTACAATTCTTGATTGATTCCCAAGAAATAAATAATTTTGATCGAATGCAGGTTGGTTTAAAGCTTTTTTAAGTTTACATGCTGTTTCAAAATAACGAATTGAAAAATTGCGAGCTTTGAAAATGATTGGGGAAAGCCCAGTGGATAAAAAGGGACGTCATATAAAACAAGCACTGTCTGAAGAAACCAAAGTTTTTATTAGACATCACATTGAAAGCTTTCCAACTAAGGAAAGCCATTATCTTGGAAAGCCTATTCGCTATTAGTTTGATGCCACTTTAAATCACTTAAAACTTTGTATAGGCTGTTTAAAGAAAAACACTTTTTAATGAAAGTTGACAAAACAAAGTTTTTCAACTACTCTAAAGAAAACTATAATCTTTCCTTCGGAAGGCCACAAGTTGCTGCACTTGCGAAAAATTCAATTTAAAGTTAAGGAATCTTTACCTTTAAGAAAAGAGATTCGATGGTAGAAAAAGAGATGTGCTCAATCTGAACTTGATGTACATAAATGCAAATCAAAAAAGTTTGATGATTAAATCCAAAAAGACGTCAATGACGAGGACAATAATCAAATTTTATCATTGTGTTTTGGCTTTATTCAGAACATACTTAACTAATAAAAAACGTACAACGAATGTTGCGAATGTTTAAGAACGCTCTATGAATGTTCATAGAACGTGCTCGAACGCTCGCAACGTTCGTCAAACGTACTTGAACGTTTTGTGTTAGCTGGGTATAGATCCCAAAAAATACTAGTGCAATCTTCTATCTGAGGAAACTTTTAGTTAATGTTTTTTGTGTTCATAACAATAAAAGTAACAAATATGTTTTTATTTACGACCAAGGCACATCAGGTAAGGTACAGATTTAGTGTGTTCTCTTATATTTAACTATTTAAAGAAGCCAGAGCAGCAGTTTAGCGAACTCCACATGTTTAGCCAAAATAAAAACTATTTATTATCTAGACTACTCTTAGCCATGACTAATTTAAAGAAATTTGAAAAGATTGAGAAATTCTACTCAGTAAAAGGTACTCCTTCCTACCCTGTGATAGGTATTTTAACATAATAAAACGAGGACTAAACCGATTTCTTCATATATTTTAGACTTCAAGGCCGCAATTTTACAAAAAAAATTGTGTTTCCGATGAAACCAAAGGTAATAAAAATAGAAAAGAGTACTTTTTTAATGAGCAAGTTCATGCACTGCACATGATATAAAACTTCCATCTAAGGTTATTGGCTGACCTTTCATCGATTCTGTAATGAATCATAGCTTTTTCCTAAGATCAATAGGTTGCCCAAACTTATGTTTTCCAAGTAAAGAAGCTTACCTTGTAGGAAAAGTACCAGCAAAGATCAAAAAAACAGCAGTTATAAAGTATAAAACTACAACCATTCCAGTGGAGTATTAATTTAATTAGTTCATGCTGAAATTTGTATGTGGCCAACAACTGAAGATGTTGAAGTTGAAAATGATGACGAAATTGTTGTTGCTTCTACTGCTTATCTCAGACTAAAGAGATTTATTTGAAGATGAAGTATTTTTCAAATAAATAAGTAATATATGTATATATATATATATATATATATATATATATATATATATATATATATATATATATATATATATATATATATATATATATATATATATATATATATATATATATATATATATATATATATATATATATATATATATATATATATATATATATATATATATATTTGAAGAAGTATTTCTTTTTTATTCGAAGAAAAATTGTTGTTTTTAATAAATAACATTATTTTAATACAACTTTATCTGTCTTTTTATTCAAATTATGCTAAAAGGGGATAAGTCAAACAACTTTGATGATTTTTTTCATATGAAAGCATTGTAAATGTCATTAACCAAGTGTGTTATATGATAACTGGGATAATAAAGAATTCATATACAAAAAATTAATCTATTTGAATAAAAAGATAATCCAAAGTTTTAATTTTCTCTAAAGAATGTATTGTTGATCCTTTTTTAGGATAAGCCGAATAAAATATTGCTTAAGTATTACTCATCAGTTTCCATATTTCATTCTCCCCAATTCAACTATTTTATTTGAACCGCCTTTACTCTATAAAATAAATTCATTGAAAATTTGTTGTTTTCGCTGTTGTTAAAAAATTGAAAACTAGGCAGTTTTTATCCATTTCATGATTTGTTGACCATTTCACGATTTGTTGTCACGATGAAAGCGCTTGCGATGACTGTAGCTTGGTAGGATGTAAAGTGGAGCAGTGTGCCAGCTAACTGAGTTGATGTTATTCTCGATTTTTTTATTTTTGGATGAGGTCGTTCTATCATTTCGGGCAATACTTTTTAGCTGGGTGCATTCTATGGTATTTATATTTTTTTAAGGTACGTACACCAGGTGGTAACTGTGAATTTGAGATGTAGGCGTATATAGGTGATGCAAAAGTTTTTCCTTATTTTGCTAATAAAGTTATTCCATGTTTTGCTGATGAGATATCTCAGCTGATGAAGGTGTGTTTTAAGATACCAAGGATATTCTTCTATGGTTCGAATCGCAAGACTTTTCAAATCACAATATTTGAAAACTCTTATTTTCCTACGCCAATGGTTCGTAATTCGAACCATTAACGTAGGAAAGTCATGAAAGTTTGGAGGGCTGAAACGGAAATTAATGAGGGAAACAGCAACCAGAATAAGAATTTGAATGAAAAAAACAGAAACTTTTCAAAATCTATGGAGGTTATTGCCCCCTTCACTACCCCCTGTTCCTACGCCAGTGGTTTGAAGATATTTTCAGACCCCTTTGAGGATTCGATTTGCCTAAGTTCTACTGTAATTCTAATGTTGAGTTTTGCTCTTAATTCCCGATTTAATATCTCCAAAACCTCGATCTCAGTTAAA